CAGGAGACCCCCCAGGCAGGTGTGGAGGCGGTGGTGGGGGGGGGGGGTGGACTTGAGAAATCTGGGAGGCGGACCAAGGTGGCACAGGCAGGAGGCCCCCTGGTGGCCCAGCTGGGGCGTGGGGAGGCGCTGCTCAGACGGCGGCCTGGCCTGGCCTTTCTGCAGGAAGAAGAACGAGAAGCTAGAACTGCTGGTGGGCTGCATCGCGGAGCTGCGGGAGGCTGACGAGGGGCTGCTGAGGGCCGGCGAGAACGACTTCAGCATCATGTACTCCACCCGCAAGCGCAGCGCACAGCTGTGGCTGGGCCCCGCCGCCTTCATAAACCACGGTGGGGCCGCGGCCGGGGCTGGGGCCGGCCCGGGACAGGGCGGGGCCGGGGCTGGTGGTGCCCACTCACCTCCCTGCTCACTTGAGTCTCTTCTTCTCTCCCCGCCCTCCCCTCAATGTTCCAGACTGCAAACCCAACTGCAAGGTGAGACTTGGGGAACCCCCACTGAGGAGTGGGCTTGGGGGGAAATAAGGGGGCTCCGGGGAGGGGCATTTGGGTCAGTGACTAGCCAGAAACTGCCCGGAGTCTCCCCACCTGGTACAGCTGCCTCCTGCCCTTGGCCGGAACCTTGTGTGCATCTGCAGAGATCAGGGATCAGGGAGGAAGGGAAGGGGCCCTGGCGAGTCTCCCTGGATCTCAGGTTGCCACCTGCTGGCAGCCTTCTTCCCTCGCTGAACCTGAGTTCACTTGGAGGGGGGAGTGTGGTGGACAGGGAGACAGAAGGTGCCCCCGCGCCTGGAGCCCACTGGACACAGCTGTGCACCTGCCATAGCAGGACACAGGGGAGCTGAGCCCCAGAAGCCTGGGGTAAGGCCAGAGCGAGCCCCAGAGGATGAGACTCTGGGAGGCAGGACTTCCAGGCAGAGGGAGCAGGGTGGAGAAGCAGCTTTGCAGGGAGAGCCACTGCGTGTTCTCTGTGGTGGAGCGCAGAGTGCCTGAAAGCAGAGGAGTCTCGTAAGGCCTCGGGTGTGCATCCTGCTGGGTGTGGGCCTCATTGCGCTGTCTGTCGGAGCCCCAAGCTGCGACCAGGACTCTGGAGTTAGAACTGGGTTTGAGTCCTGGCTCCCCCAGCCCCCAGCCTGAGTTACTCTTCCCGGGTGGGAGATGGGGAGAATGTGTCTCCGGGGATGGTGGCGAGGGTCCGGTGTGAAGTGCACCCCCGTGGTTCTTGTGTTCTGTGACTCTGTAGGCCCATTACATGGATTTGACGGTGGGAAATGTGCTGGGTAGGACAGGAAACGGGGCAAGGCTTCGTGACAGAGGCTCTGTGGTGAGGCGGGTGCCAGCCACCTCAGGGCCCGGGCAACAGGCACCGGTCTTTTACCTAGCGGTGCAGAACCAGGAGGCCGCACAGATGTTTAGAGCCAAGCGCTTGAGGAGGAATAGGACTTTCCAAGGTGTTGAGGAGAAACTGAGGCGTGCTAGGCCATCCCAGACAGGCACGTCTCAGTGGAGGGCCAGGAGGCATGGTCGCCATGGTGACTCTGGCCTCGCGTGCCACAAAGGAGCTCAGGTCTGCCCCACGGGTGCTCCCACTGGGTGAATAATGGGGTTTGGTTTTTAGATGGCCCTGGCAGCTCAAGAGCTGGAGGCTTGTCAGGACAGGGAGGGGCCGGAGGCTGGCGTGTGACCCGGTGTGTCACTGAGTGAGAGGTTGGCTCCAGATGGAGTCTGGGGGATACAGAGAGCAAGGACGCGAGGCCCCGTGCACGGAGGCTCCGGCCAGTTGGCCTGGGATGAAGTGGGCAGGTGGCCGGAGCCACCCCCAGGTGTGTGTCAGGCTAGAGTGGGGGGAGCGATGGGAGTCCACTCCTCCCAGAGGGGGAGCACGAGGCAGGAACAGGCACAGGCAAGAGTGGCCTCAGGGGGCAGCAATCCCGGGCTGGGGCCGCAGGGCGGACAGGCACCTGGCGGGGGGGACGGCGAGACCGGCAGAGCTGGGACCACGCTGCCAAGGTGCAGGCTGCCAGGGAGTGGGGAGCGGGTGGGGGCCTGTGGGAGGGGTGGCGGAAGGGTGCAGGAGGGAGCAGGCGGTGCTGTCTGCCAACACTGCCAGGGTCAGGTTAGATCATCATCCTGCGGGGAGGGCGGAGGCCAGCACGCGGGCAGGAAGTTGGGGAGCGTGTTAAGAGGGCAGACCCTGGAAGCTCCTGGGGGCTCCTGGCCCCTGGCCCCTGCCCGTCCTGGGATCACACTCGTCCTGGGTGGGGTGGAGCCAGGCAGCCCCCAGGACCGGTCACTGAGCAGCCCAGCCCCCAGTTTGTGCCCGCAGATGGGAACGCAGCCTGTGTGAAGGTACTCCGGGACATTGAGCCGGGGGACGAGGTAACCTGCTTCTATGGCGAAGGCTTCTTTGGTGAAAAGAATGAGCACTGTGAATGCTATACCTGTGAGAGGTGAGGGGTGAGGTGGGGAGGGACCCAGGAGGGGTGAGGTGGGGAGGGCACCCGAGAGAGGTGAGGTGGGAGGGCCCCCACCAAGGGTGAGGTGGGGAGGGCACCTGAGAGGGGTGACGTGGGAGGACCCCCACCAAGGGAAAGGGGGGAGGGACCCAGGAAGGGTGAGGTGGGGAGGGCACCCAAGAGAGGTGAGGTGGGAGGGCACCCGAGAGGGGTGAGGTGGGAGGGCCCCCATCAAGGGGAAGGGGGGAGGGACCCAGGAGGGGTGAGGTGGGGAGGGACCAGGAGGGGTGAGGTGGGAGGACACCGGAGGGAGGCACACTGCAGTGCCCCCGAAGAGCCTCCTCAGGACCCGCTTCCCTCCTCTCCTTCCGCCCGCCCACAGGAGAGGCGAAGGGGCCTTCCGACTGCGGCCCAGGGAACCCGCGCCCCCGCGGCTTCTGGACAAGTACGAGCTCCGGGAGACCAAGCGGAGGCTGCAGCAGGGCCTGGAGGGTGGTGGCCGGCTGGGCCCCAGGGCCTGCGCCCACCTGTCCCCACTGCTCCGGGACCCGTTCTGTGGTGAGCTCGGGGCAGGGACCCTGTCCTGCCAGCCTGTGTGCATCCCGACCACCGACCACCGTGTCCCTCCGTCGCCCTCCCTCCCCTCCCCCCATACCCCCCCCCCCCCCCCCCCCGCCGCCCCGTGCCAGTCGCCCTGCTCACATCCACCCCTTTCTCTCCCCTCCCCCCTCCACAGCTGCCTGCCAGCCCCTACGCCCCCTGCCCTGCGGCGCCCGCCCTGACGCCTCGCCCCTCTGGCTCCAGTGGCTGCCTCAGCCCCAGCCCCGGGTGCGCCCCCGGAGACGCCGACGCCCCCAGCCCCGGAGGGCCCCAGCTCCCCCCCTTCTCCGTGCTGCCCGCGTCTCCTTGCACCAGTGGGGAGGCTGTGGCCCCCGATGCTGCCTGCAGGCGGAGGCCCTGGTGGCCCTGGGCCCGGCCCCCCGCGCCCACTGGGCCCCTCAGCAGGACTGGCACTGGGCCCGGCGCTATGGGCTGCCTTACGTGGTGCGCGTGGACCTGAGCCGGGTGGCCCGGCCCCCACCTGCTGCCCCCGCCCCTGCCCCTGCCGGGACCCCAGGCCCCACCCCCATCCCCAAGAAGGCCCTCGCCTTTGCCCCCTTCTCCCCACCCAAGCGCCTGCGGCTGGTGGTCAGCCATGGTTCCATTGACCTGGATGTCAACGGTGACGGGCCGTGATGGGCCGGAGGGGAGGCCCGAGGCCAGGAGAAGATGGGATCCTGCCTAGTCCCCCCTCCCCCACGGCCCCATGTTCTCGGGGACTCACTGACCTCTAGAAGGAGCTCTTGGACCTCTGGGAGGGAGCTGGCCCTGGACCCCGGCACAGTTCTTACCGGGCTGGGGGCTGGGTCGGTTTGGAGACACCCAGGGATCTGACCCCTGACCCTTTGTGACCGCTGACCCCTGAGCCGCCCCCGCCCCATTGGGTGCCCTGGCCGCTGCTGCCCCACCCGCATCCCCAACTCCAACCTCAGGACTACAGGAGCCGTTCCCTTCCCTACCCCCCCCTCCTGCCCAGGGAGCAAAGCCATAAGGGGTGGGGGCCGCCCCTTGGTGTCTCCCCGGAAGCCCAGGCCTCAGGAGGCGGTGGAACTGACCTGGGGGCGGCCCCCCCTAGAGACTGCCCTGCGGAGGGGAGTGGGTTTGGGCTCAGCTCTGCGACTGTCTGAGGTGGGGGGGGGGGCAAGGTGGGGGGATGTCTGGGACACGTCCTCACCACCCCGTGGGTCTCAGGGAGGCCGGACGCGACCTCATCTTTCTCATGGTGCTGTCCCTGGTGCTACTGGGGTGTGGGGGGTCCCTCCCCTCCCCCACACCAGAACGGGGTATGTTGGGGGATTGAAAGCACTTGAACTTTTTATTTTATTAAAGCCTTGTTATAAGCAGCGTCCTTTGTAGCTTTTCATTTTGATTTATGTGTCGAGGGGATGTTTGTGGAGCTTTGGAGGGGCGAAGGGTCGATAGGATGGCCCCGAGGATGGCGGAGGACAGAGGCGAGAACCCCATCCCCGCTGGAAGGGTGCTGGTGAAGAGTGCGAGGACTCCCCTCTCCTTCAGATGAGGTAACAGGTCCGGCAAGTAGGGTGACTTGATCACGGTCACGTGGGGCCCAGCTGCCCCCATAGCCTCGTCCGTGTCTTCTGGGTAGGCCCGGCTCTGTGGGACCAGGGCGATGATGCTCCAGATCTGGGGCCTTAGGGAACACCGCCGTCACCTTCGTGGTCACCTCCTCCCTGCCACTGTGCCTGAGACATGGGGACAGCTACCCACCGGTGAGCGCGTCCTGCTTCTGAGGGCTGGCGCTGTTCTAGAGCTGAGGCCTCACACCTGAGGGGCAGAAGCAGCCAGGGGCTGAAGGGAGGGCGAGAGGGGCAGGGAGAGGCCGCTGGGGGTGGGGGGTGGGGGCAGGGCAGAGCGGGACGTGTTTACCTCGAATCCCTCTCTTTCACAGAGCACCTGTCTGACTCCCACTGAGCCTGTTGGTTTGCAAGGAGGAAGGCGAGGAGGGCGCGGAGGGCAGACTGCAGTGCAGGTGCCTCACTGTGGCGTCTAGACCAGCAGCACAGCAGAGCCGGAATCTCCTCCGGGATGGATGGACGGACAACCACGGGGCGGGGGGTTGCAAGCACTTCCAGAGATCCTGTTGTAAAGTGTAGTAACTGCACATGCGCCTGTGCACTCTTCTCAGGGGAGAGGGCTTGGAGCCTTGGTCCGCTTCCCCAGAGTGTCTGGAACCCAAGTGGTCGGAGGCCCACGCAGAGCCCGCTCATTCTGGGTTGCAGGATGAGGCGTTGCCCCGCCAGCCTCCGCCCACCCGATGCCAGTAGCACCCCCTTGCTTGTGACAGAAATGTCTCCAGACGCTGCCAGACGTCCCCCTGGGGGCCAACGCCACCCCCACTGAGAAGCGCTGGACTGGGGCGGCAGGGTGATGGGGAGGGAGTCGCGTGGCTTGTGTGGCCTGGCGTCTGTCTTCACGGCCGGCCGCGCTCCCAGGACCGCCCCACCCCCTTTACAAACAGCCTGCGGAGGACAGTGACCACCTTGCTCCAGGTTCTGCCCCGAACCCCCCCCCCCCCCCCCCCCGCCCCACTGAGTCAATGGCTCCTACCACGACAGGACAGCACAGGCGCTGGGGAGGGAAGAATGAGAGTCCGCAGGTCAAGGCAGGGGCTCGAACCCCATCGCGCAGCCTGAGCGAGAGCGTAGGGAAGTTGGCCGGGAGATGAAGGGAAGAAGGAACTGAAAGAAGCAGGAAATAATCACAGCTCACCGCTCAAGGCTCATGCTCTGCCTTCTCCTTCGCCTCTGGTGGCTGGGCCGGAAGCAGAGCCGAGAGCGCCATCCAGGCTGGGCACCCCGATCCCGGACCCGCTCCTCTCCTGACCCTTTTACATGCACACGGCACTGGCCGGTTGTCTCCAGGAGCCCCGGGACCCTGTTGATGGGTTGGCCATCCTGGAGGGCGATCCGTCACTCCTCCCACCGTGCGATGTGTCAGCCGCCAGTATGAACCAACACGCTTCCTCGGATTGCTTACACAGGTAGAGACCCCCCGCACACACCCGGAGAGACCTGGGCCCGACAACTAGCCTGTGGTTCACAGCATGGTCCTCCCCAGCAGCCCTATGAAGTGTAGGTGTGGTCACCAGCAGACTTTGGATGAAAAGACCACGGTGCAGACGGCTTGGGGACTTGGGGGCCACGTGGCTGGTAATCTGTGCAACTGGCACTTGAGGCGTTTCGGAATTCATCGGGCTGCAGGATCTTCAGGATGAGAAGGAGGCTGGCTCCAGAGACAGGAGGCTGGAGCCGTGCCCACTGGGGACCAAGGGACAGTGAGCTGGGTCGCGGTGGCTTCCATGGGGAGGAGAGGGAGAGCGGGTTCCTTGAGGGCTTGGGTTCCCGGAGCAAAGGGTGAAGGGCAGCTGAGCGTTTCTGATGGGGAAGTGCCTGGAAGCCTGAGCCTGTCCCCGGATGGGGAGGAAGGAACCGGCCAAGGGGCTCAGAGGCAGGGGAAGAGGGCAAGAGGTGGCCTGAGATGGAGGGGATGGCCCTGGGGGAAGAAAGGGGGAGGAGGAAGGAGGTGGTGGGGAGAGCAGGGATGCGAGTTGGGCAGAGGGGCGGGAACGGGACCTCCTCTGACCTGGGAAGCTGCTGCAGGTCCCTGCGGCTGGCACTGGGGCTTCAGGGAGCAGTGGAGGCGCTGTTCAGAGTTCAAGGCCTGGGGGTGTGCTGTGCTGTTGACCCAGACAGCCATAGTGCACGAGGCCGGACCCCGCCTCCAGCTCCGGCATCCTTAGGGTTGGTGGCCTGGAATATAAACAATGCTCCAAAGTGGTTGAGGGATGGGGGCGCCTTGGTGGCCCAGTCGGTTGAGCATCTGACTCCATTTCAGCTCAGGTCATGATCTCGCCATTCATGAGTTTGAGCCCCGCATCGGGCTCTGCCCTGACTGCGTGGAGCCGGCTTGGGATTCTCTCTGCCCCTCCCCTGCTTGTTCTCTCTCTCTCTCTCTCTCCCTCCCTCCCTCCCTCCCTCCCTCCCTCTCTCCCTCTCCCTCCCCGCCCCCACCAAAATAAATAAACTTTAAAAAAAGTGGTGGAGGGCTGATGGTGGGGACAGAAAATGGAGAGTTGAGAGTGGCTGCAGGGCAAGGGAGAGAAAGTGCCCTCCAGGCAGGGGTGGCCTGCTGAGGTCCAGAGGCCGGCTGGGGCTGTACAGGTGGCAGGCTCTGTGCTCAGATGCTACCTAGGTGACCTCACTGAGTGTCAGACAGCCGGCAGCCCTATTTGGTGACTTGGAGAGGTGCCTTGCCTGTGTGTCACCGTCGGCTTCCCTGCCACAGGGGCAGCGCTCCGGGCACGCCCTGCGCACTCACCTGCCCCCCTGCCTCTCAGGCTGTGATTGGGGGGGGGGGGCAGGGTATCTGGGTGAAGCCATCCCAGGAGATGAGCAGGCTGGGGTGCGCCCTGGGTGGCTTGATGAGGCCAGCGTGGAGGGTGTGCCTGGGGACAGTCATCCAGGAGGCTGGGTGGAGCCAGTCCTCCAGAGTCCGCTCAGCCCCTCCCATCATCCCACCTGTCCTGGTAACGGGACTGTACCATCTCTGTTTCCTGGGGAAGCTGAGGGGCACGCAGGTCAAGAAGCTTGTTCAGGGTCACCGACAAGTTGTTCTGATCAGTAACAGCGACCTTCGAGCCCCGGATTAAACTGGCCTCTTGACATGACTTGAGAGAGCCTGGCTCCAGGCTGTCGCGGGAGTCCTCCTACAGCTTCAGGGAGACACAGTGGAATCCAGTCCTCCCTGTGCCAGGACTCGGTCCGGGCTAGAAGCCCAGGGCTCTGCGCTCTGTTAAGGGTCACGCCTCAGCCTCCGGGCGGGGGAGGGGGCAGGTGTTTGGAGAGGTGACCTTTCGGGGGTCATTTGGAATGAGGATGGATTTTGGCGTTGCTGCCTCTGAGCCTGGGCAGGCCCGGTGCCCGGATGCGGCAGGAGCAAATTATTCAGACAGGAGCTTGGAGTATCCTGGGGAAATGGAGAAGTCGGGGGGGGGGGGGGGCAGCCGCCCCTGTTCTTTGGGGGAACAAGGAAGAGGATGCTCTGGCGGGGCCAGTGCTGACAGGGCCAGGCGTGCAAAAGACTGTTGGGAGGGGCTCACGGGATGAGGACAGGATGGCAAAAGGAGTCAAACGGGGGCACGGAAGTGAGGGAGAGTGGTGAAGAAAGGGTCCAGAGCAGGGGAGGGAGGGTTGGGGTCAGCGCTGGCGGGGGGGGGGGGGGGGGGGGGGTGCACAGTAGACTCCCCCCACCCCAGAACTTGGGAATGGAAGGAGGTGGGGGAGGCGTTCAGGTCAGAGAGGAAGAGGCTCCTGAGGGAGGAGACGGAGGGCGACTAAGTGTGGGGATGGACAGTCAGGGGCACTCTGGTGGGCGCGCGTGGTCATCCAGAGATCCAGAGAGGACCCCGGGCTGGTGGCGGCTGCTGCTGGAGGCAGTGGGGCAAGGGCGGACGGGGCTTGGTTGCTGCCGCCCTAGACACCTGCCTACCCTCCCTCCATGGCAGCCCGACGGAGCAGAATCCTCCCCTGCCCCCTCCTCCATCAGAACCGGTAGCGTTAGCTGCAGGCCACAGACAAAGGTCTTCTCCAGCCCCCACGCCAGATAATAAGAAACGTCAGCAGCAACATAGCTTTATGTGTGGCTTAGTCTCGGGGAGACTCGAGGACGGTGGGGGGTGGAGGGTGTCAGCGCGCTGATCCTTCGGGGCGTCCGCACTCAGGCCGTCAGATTTTGCCTGCGAAGGTCCCTCTCTGGATCTGCTCGGTCCAGCGCTGCACCTGGGGAGAGACGGGCGGGAGGGGAGGCGGCGGGCGCTTGTTCAGCTCTGCGGGACCCTCCACCCTCGCCCGGTCCGGTCTCGCCCGGCCGGCTGTCGACGCCCCCTCGGCCCCCTGCTCACCCAGCTCTTGGGGCACAGCGAGTGGAACACGCGGAAGTAATACTCGCAGGGCTGCGTGCTTTTCCCACGGCGGTTCATTCTCTTGACGCAGCGGTGGTAGTCTGAGGGGTGGGGCGGAGCGGGCCGCGGGGTTGCCTCGGTCCCAGTCCCAGCAGACCAGGCCCCGCCCCTCCAGGACTTGGTCCCCAGCCCTCCAGAGCAGGCCCCGCCCACTCCGTCAGGCCCCGCCTCTCCACGGTCGGTCCACCCCCTCCAGGCCATGCCCAGCCCCTCCAGGACTCGGTCCCGCCCCTCCAGGCCAGGCCCCGCCCCCTCCAGGCCCAGTCCTGGCCCCTAGACCAGGTCATGCCCAGTCCCGGACAGGCCCCGTCCCTGCTGGGTAGGCCCCTCCTATCCTTCCCTTGCCTCGGCCCTCCAAGCCTCGGTCCCGCCCCCCACCGGATAGGCCCCGCCTATCTCTCTCTCGCCCCTCCCCTCCAAGACTCGATTCCACCCTCCAGGACAGGGTCTTCTCCCCTCCAGACAAAGCCCCGCCCACGCTGGATAGGCCCCGCCTATTCCTCCCTCGCCCCGCCCCTGCAGGATTTGGTACCCACCCCTCCAGAGCAGGTTCCACCCTCTCCCGGCCAGGCCCCGCCCATCGCACCCTCGCCCCACCCCTGGGCCCAGGCCCCTCCAGATAGGCCCCTCCCACTCCCCGGCGAGGCCCCGCCCCTTCCGACCATGGCCCCCCTCCCCTCCCACCCCAACGGTCACCGCCACCAAGGCCGGTCCGGGACCGTCTCCCTGTCTTCAGGTGGGGCAGACCCTTCCCGCCTCTTCTGTCTCCCTGCCCCTAACCTGGCCCGCAAGGTCTCACCCAGGAAGTTCTGGTAGCAGTTGCGGGTCTGGTTCTGGTTGGGGAAGCGCGGGTCGAAGGGTGGTGTTGTCCATTTCCCCTTGGGGGACTTCTGGAACTCAATATCCAACATCCAGGGAGGCGGCAGCTACTGCAGGGGCAGGGGGCTCCGTGGGGCCTGAAGGCGCCTCTCGCTCAGACCCGCACCCAGTTCCTGGCCCCCACCCCAAAGCCCAGTCCCTGATCCCACCCGCCCTGCCCTCACCGGACTGATGTCAACGTGTCACTGGGTTAGCTGTGCTTGTGGCTCCATCCGGCGGTGCCCCTCGCTTCTGAGTGTCGGGGGGGGAGGGGGGTCCCAGCCCAGGAAAACCACGACTCCTGGCAGGATTGGCTGGGGCCCCTGGAACCCCAGCCAATGGGAGCCGCTGCGCTGCAGGGGACGCTCTGGGCCGCCAGGCAGGGTCTGCGTGGACCAGCCCCCCCACCCCCGCCGCCTCCCACCTCCAGCCCGACGCCACCCCGCGCGCACACACTGGCACCCAGTCACGATTTTTGCCGAGTACTCCGACTCAGGCTTTTAATCTCTGCGAAGCTGGGCCGCTCCGCGGGCTCTCCCCCGCCCCCCGCCCCCCCCCCCCCCCCCGATATATAAACGTATAGATAGCTCTGGTCTCTACCCTAGAGGGAGCATCCCCCCGCCCGGGCTTTTCAGCACCCTGCTTCTTACGGTACAGGTGCACAGCACCCTGGGGGCCTGTGGGGAAGAGGAGGAAAGAGTAAGGGTGGTGTCCGAGCCGCCGGACTTCAGTGCCAGGACTAAGGCGGGTCCGCAGGGTCTCTGGCTACCTGGTCACGCTGGGCTCCTTTGGACGCTTTGGCGATCGAGATTGACTCCCCCCGAATCCCGCTAATGAAGGCTCTGGGAACTCTGTATGCTGCGGAGAGAGAGAGAAAGCCAGAGGAGGTCTTGGAGGTCACAGGAAGAGCGTAGTGAGGGCTCAGTAAATCCCTGCTAAAATGAAGCGTGAGCTGGAATAAGGGTCCCCACCAGTGTCTTCCTGTCCCTGTGTCCCTCCCAAGTTTTTCTCCCTCCTGCCTAGTTGCGGGGGAGCCCGCCTGTGGATCCTTCACACCAACACGCAAATGCTAATCTCTCTCTCCTCTTCAGCACTCTCGTGCTCACTTCCTACACCAGCTACTTCTTGCCATGTCCCCCCTCCCCTTCCAGCAAACTACTTGGAAAAAAGCTGCTGGACCCCTCCTCTCTGCGTCCCCTCTTTGCATACGCACGTTCATAGGAAAGTACGTGTGTGGGTGGGTGGGTGGGTAGGTAGGTATATAGCGGGAAATACACATCACATAAAATTTACCGTTGCAACCGTTTGAAAGTGCACAGTTCGGCGACACTAATTACATCCACAGTGCGGTACAACCACCACCTCCACTTAGCTCCAGAACATTTCATCACCCCAAAAGGAGACCCCTGTTCCCAATAAGTCATCCCTCCCCATTCCTCCCATTCCTCCCAGCTCCTAGCAACCACCATTCCGCTTGGATTTATTTGCCTGGTCTGCAAGTTTCCCACAAATGGAATCACGCACGATGAGGCCTTCTGCATCTGGTTCCTTTCACTGAGCATCATGTTTTCAAGGGTTGCGGCAAGTGATCCCCTGCTTTCTGTGCTCCCGTCGGCCTGCCCCATTCGGGTCTTTGTTCCCACCATGCAACAAATAATAAAATCCTTGCTGGTAAGCCCAGGGCTCCTGCCTCCGTCCCGTATTCCTTCACCTAACTGCAGCATTACACGCAGCTGCCCCTGACACCCAGGCTGTCGCCATTCTGCCAACTCTCACTATGGTTTCCCCTTTTCTTTTTTTTTTAAAAATGTTTTACATTTATTTATTTTTGAGAGACAGGGAGAAACAGAGCGCTAGTCGGGGAGGGATAGAGAGAGAGGGAGACACAGAATCCGAAGCAGGCCCCAGGCTCTGAGCCATCAGCACAGAGCCCGACGCGGGGCTCGAACTCACTCACGAACCATGAGATCACGACCTGAGCCAAAGTCAGACGCTTAACTGACTGAGCCACCCAGGCGCCCCTGGTTTCCCCTTTTCTAAACACTTTGTACCCTCTTTGTCGACACTCACTGGCTGGTGACCTCCTCCAGTCTCTTGGCTTGTGGTAACTATCCATGTGCCAATGATTTCCCATCACTCCCAATTCATATATCCAGCTACCTGCCCCACTTCTTCACCAGGGATCTTAGATGATCCTGATCCCCTCCCTGCCACCTGCTGCATTCACAGCCTCTCCGTCTCCCCAGTGTCTCAGACCCCAGGCCCTACATTTGCCCTTGACACCACATGGCCATGTCCAATCCATGAGCCAATCTGTCAGCTCAACCATCCTGCCTCTTTCTCACACCTCCAGCACCTCCCTTCTTGTCTCCTGCCTGGATCCTTGCAACTGCCTCCTCCCATTTCTCCCAGATTCCATCCTTGCCCCCTTACCTTCTCTATGCTTTGGCCAGAGAGAGCCTTTTCAAATATACACCAGTTCCAGCCATTCTCCCCCAAATCCCCCAGCTCACTCAGCATCAAAGCCAAAGCCCTTGAAATGGCCTGCAAGGTCCCACGTGATTACCACCACTCGCGTGACTTCTTCTGACTTCATTTCCTACCCTTGGGGTCCCTTGGAACTCACTCTTGGTCCAACGTGTCACACACACACTCATGCCTCAGGGCCTCTGCAGTGGCTGTTTCTTCTGCAGGCAACATACTTTCACCAGATGTGTGCATGGCTTCCTTCTTCCCCTCCTTCGGGCCTTTACACAAATGACATCAACTCACTGAAGCCCTCCGGGACCAACCAGTCCAATACAGGGGGCTGCCTATCTTCATCCCTAGTCCCCCCTCTCCTGCTCTTTTCCCATGGAGCCATCACCTTATAGCGTGCAATATAATTGACTTAGCTTTTAATTGTCAGGACTCCTAACTTCAGCCCTACTGATATTTTCTCTGGATCATTCTCTGCTGTGGTGGGCCATCCTGTGCATTGTAGGACATTGAACAGCATCCCTGGGCTCTACACACAAGATGACAGGAGCATATCCTCCCCAAATTGCTCAAAGCCATATCTCTAGTGCTTAGAACAATGCCTAGCACAAGTCAACACTCTCTATACTTTGAGTCCGTGAACAAAAGTGAAAAAAGGGGGGGCGCCTGGGTGGCTCAGTCGGTTGGGCGGCCGACTTCGGCTCAGGTCATGATCTCGCGGTCCGTGAGTTCGAGCCCCGCGTCGGGTTCTGTGCTGACAGCTCAGAGCCTGGAGCCTGTTTCGGATTCTGTGTCTCCCTCTTTCTGACCCTCCCCCATTCATGCTCTGTCTCTCTCTATCTCAAAAATGAATAAACGTTAAAAAAAAATTAAAAAAAAAAAGTGAAAAAAGGGAATGATCCTCTTTTTATCTTGCAGCTAATGGAGTTGACAGAACGTGTCAGCTGTCACCCCAAATGCCTGGCTGAAGGACTGTAAGCACCCGGTTCCTCTATGTCTTTCACCTCAGGGGCCATGTCCATCATATTCTCATTTTCTACAAGCGTTGGTAAGATGACATCAGAGGACAACTTTGTTATGGCCAGGGGACTCTGGTCTGACATCCCCTCGAGCTGGTCTGGCATCCCCTCCAACTGGTCTGGCATCCTCTGGAGCTGGTCTAATATCCCCTCAAGTTGGTCTGGCATCCCCTCCAGCTGGTCTGGAGTCTTCTTGAGCTGGTCTGACCTCCCCTCGAGCTGGTCTGACTGCCCCTCGGGCTCAAGAGATGCTCTCTTTGGCTGCTGGAACACACTGGCCTTCATCTCTGAGATGGGGGTCAGTGAGACGGGCCACGGGGGTACCTCCTCCCACCTTGATGCAGGCAGACTGATGGGATCTGGGGAGACATTGTCCATCATCAGGCTGCTGGCCTCATGCCTGGGGAGGCCAGGCACTTCGGAAGCCTCTTTTGGAACCTGGGGCTGTGCCTCTACCCAGTGATACATGCTCCCTTCAGCCCACGGATGCATTCTCTCCTTCACCCAGGTGCCAAACAGGGACTGCTCTCCAACCACCTCTGGTGTCCCCTGCAGCAAGGGCACCTCACTGGGGCTGACTGTTGACATGTCAGGCATCGGGGGGTTCGAGAGCCAGGAGGACGGATTGACTGTTGCTGGCCTCAGGGGCGGTTCCTTGGAGTTGGCCATGATCATCAGCTTGGCAAGGGTGAGCCCCTCCACCGAGAACGGCCTGCTTTGCTCCTCCGGGGGTCCCTGGATGACCACCTCCTGGGTCTTGAGCCACTTCTGCTGTTGCCCCACCGTCTGGGAGGTTAAGCCAGGCTTGTCCAGGGATATCTCCTCCTTCTTTCTGTGGACCTTGTCCTCCAACTTGCCCCTGCCCTTCAAGCCATCCAGGGTGATCTTCAGGGCTTTAGTGAGCACGACCTCCTCCAACTCCTTCTTGGTGGTGGTAAAAGGCAGGTCCTGGGATGTTTTCCGGGTCCTTGTCTCTATCAGGTCCATCTCCTGGGTGCCCACAAACATCAGTGGTCCTGGCGTCCCCTCACGCTGGCTTCTCTTGAGCACGCGCCCTCTAGGACCTCCCGTGGGCAACGTGCCCAAAGTGGCAGCGTCCGGTGTCATCTGCTGTTGAGTAGGTGAGGTCAGAGCCTTCTGGGATGGGGCAGGTAGGAACACGGATTTCCTTCCTGGGACAGAGGAAGATACAGCCTTCCGGGAAGTAGGCGATACAGGTGGGGCCTTCCGGGCCGGGCCAGGACTGGCTGCGGCCTTCCGGGAAGTAACGGATACAGGTGGGGCCTTCCAAGGGGGGCCACGTACTGTTGGGGTCTTCTGGGTAACAGCGGGTACCACGGGGGCCCCCCGGGGTGGGCCGGGTGCAGTCGACATCTTCCGGGATGGATCATGCATTGCCGAGACCCTCTTGGACTGGTCACGGAGGAATGGAACCTTCCAAGCGGCGACGCGGGCAGCTGCGGTCTTCTGAGAGGGTGGAGGCCGCTGCCTCTGCCCAGATCCCAGAGCCTGGGCCTTTTCGTTGCGCCTGTGGGAGGAGGAGTAAGCGGATGGGAGGGAGAAGCGGGGAGGGTAGGTGGCTGCGGAGAAGGACAAGGTGCTGGTATCGGGGTCCATCAGGTTTTCAATGTCCTGCTGCCACAGGTACGTGTTGAAGGGATCATAGGATTCCAGCAAGGAAATATCAGGGGTGTCTGCGGAGGCACAGCGGATGGGGGTCTCAGTTAAACCGCCCAGGACTGTGGCCGTGTCTGAGTCAGAAGAGCAACACTGTAGGCGGACAGAGAAGAGGGGAAGAATGGTCAGGGCCAGGGGAGGCTCCCAGAGCCCAGGACACAGGGCCCTCCTCCCTCAGACCCGGGAGTCCAGACCCCCGGCCCCTCCTCCCTCAGACCCGGGAG